CAAGGAAATTGATGACTTATGTAGAGGATGGAAAGATTTCATATTCTTTTGAAATTAGACAAAGAAGTCGGATTGCCATTAACTTGTCTTAAAGAAGCAGGGTGTGTCAAAGACAAGATGGTGAGACCAAATACTTATATAAAGATGAGGTGCATAGTATGTATGGAAAGGTCGTAGTTTGTTAACTTTTGTTGAGTTAAGTCATAGTTGACTATAGAAATGGAATTACCGATTGATTTTCAATATCGGTAAGTTTATCACGGATCAGTGGTGGATAGATTTAGTTACAGAATTCGCTTTTGAAGATGCTTCAATTTAAACGTTGGGTACAAACGAAAGCTGGTGGTACCAGACTAACGGTACTTTCTATAGACAAATTGGATGGAGGATGCACGGACTGAGTTTCACAACTTTTAGTTCTTTATCCTGGTGGAAACATGATGCTTTACGATAGACAGGAGAAGGGACATAGTGATTTATCTCCAAGTCTAATATTTATTAGATAGTAGAGATGGACCATCAGAGATCACTGGATTCTTGCAGTTATTTTCTATACTGAAGTGGAAATGACAAAGCATTTTCACGGATTTAGTTAAGGGATTGCTGATTTGATGCAAAGGTCAGGATTCTAGATGGGATATTGGTTGACTGATAAAATTAAATCAGTTTCATTTTGTCTATTTTGATCGAGCTGATAAGATATCAGTTCATACGAATAGAACGGATCACGAGACGGCTTAGATGGATGCAAAGTGTGAATCATCAAGTTCCGTCTGTTGGAAGTAAAGATAGAATTGGATGTTCTCAACAACGGATAGGATATTTAAATCTTTCGGTTCGTTGATGAGTTATCAGTTGAATGTATAGCAGGTGTAATAATAACACTTGTTATTACCAAGGTAGTTGAGAAGGTCAACTTTGAATATTGGAGCTGACCTTGGAGACGGTGTTACCTTACTCAGATGGAGTTTAAGGTATTCGAGGAGGATTTAGTAGTTTCTGTAAATAGTGATATGACGGTCGGGCGAATGAGCTGAAAAATTTATAATTTTTCTTGGTACACCCAAATGGTTAGAAAGTACATCACGACATTAAATGTCAATTTTGGTGAACAGGTACGGATAGGGACGTGTATATAATTGCCCTAAGTGTAAAACCTGCTACAAAGGTGGAAAGTTGATCATCGGATATCATAGGAATCTTTAGCCACTTCTTATAACAAATATGGAAGTTGAACTAAACAAGAGTGACGATCAGTGGGAAGGATCGACATTGATTTGGTATTTCAATTTTTCATATGGAATTCGAGTGGTGGATTGAGAAAGATCGCTTGAGGACATAAATTTGAGTGATGCTTATTTTAGAACTTCATAGTAGTTCTATAGTACAGTGATAGTGGTGTTATAGCATGTGGATGTCCATATTAGTAGATGCAAAGTGCTATTTCGAATAAGCTTTATGAAGATTTTGGAGCAGTAGCTCTACTTCATATCTATAGACGGAGGAATTAATTGAGAGATTAAATTAGACCATAAAGGATATGTTTGAGGCGTATATCCTAGATTTTCATGGACAGTTGGAAGTGTTTACTTCACTTATCGGAATTTTGTCTGTGATATTATTGGCACAAGGAGGTTAGTGTGACAACTTTGGAGGTTTTGTATCTTTCACAATGCATACCTCTCATTTGTTGGTTGGAAATGGAAGTAAGGGTTGTACAATCAGACCTCGATTTCATTTAAAAATATGTCGGAAAGAGATACTTCCTTTTGTATTGAACTGCGCACGGTTGGGAGGCGACAATGGGATGTTGTAAATAGTTGAACTCGTATACTAGAGTTTTTCTATCAGGAAGTAGTTTGCTCGTTCTGTTTTCTATGTAGGAAGAAAGACGATTTTTGGAGAAAGGTCAATTTTACTTATTATATTGACTTTTAGAGGATTGCGTTTCGCAATTGAGGCAGTCGCCTATGAATTAGCGTTACTAAATTATTAGCGCTAGGTGCATAAGAGTTTGTTCGTATATTCTATGGCACTTGGAGCTATGCAGATCATTCCCTTGTCGACATGGGAGGATTACGTTATTGTTTGATACAACCTATGCATTGTATGATTATTGTGTTTCTTAAAATATAGGAACCCTGTATACCATTTGGTAGATTGGAGTTAAGTGGAGCCCTTATAGTGATGTTGCGTCTACTTGGAAATAGGAGGATGTTTTTCGCTCACAGTTTCCAAGCATAATGGAAGAATAATGGAAGGAAGTAAGGGCGAATTTCGAGGACGGAATTCATTTTGTTAGGGGGGAAGAATGTAATACCCCTAATTTTAAAAGGATAGTCTCGGTATTCATTTATTTATTTTTATTGTATTTTTTTTAATTGTTTAATTGATTATTTGACTAATTGTTTATGTGTTTAATTGAATTAAGTGTTACTTGATTAATTGGCTACTTATCTATGTGTTATTTGTATTTTGTTTAGGTGTTATTTGTATTATTTGTTTAATTAGATTATGTGCTTAAATGATGTATTTGATTAATTGTAATTAATTGTAAATTAAATGATTAAATGTTTTATTTTATTTTATTTTATGGTTATGGTTAGTGGTAATGGGCTAACTAATTGGGTCCCATAAACTTCTTGGATAGGAGGTTGGATGGGTATGGATAATTACCCATGGATAGTTGTATATATATATATATAGATATATATGTATATACATATATATAAAAAGGAAAGTAATTTATTAATATTATAGTAACTTTAATATTAATAAATAATCTGATGTATATATTTTATATATTTATATAATAAGGATATACATATATTTTATACGTAACATGTTTTAAGTTACCTTTTTAATATTATGGTAACTTTGGTATAAATAAATAATCTGATGTATATATTTTATTTATTTAATGAGGATACAGATAGATTATATACGTAACATATTTTAAGTTACTTTTTAATATTATGGTAACTTTAGTATTAATAAATAATCTAATGTATATCTTTTATTTAATTAATAAGGATATACATAGATTATATACGTAACATATTTTAAGTTACCTTTTAATATTTTCATTTTTTTATTTTTCTTTATTAAGTTGACTTGGATTGGAAAAAGGAATAGGTTTATTATTTAGCCTATAAATACACAACTATAGGTTGAAAAGGGAGTGAAAATATATCACGTAATATATTCTAGAGAGAGAGAGTTAGAGAGAGAGTTAGAGAGAAAAGGAAAAAGAGGAAGGAATGAGGAGAAAACCATTTAGAGAGAAGATCAAGGAAGAAGAAGTTTAACTTTCAATCCGAAAGTTTAAGGCAAGTTCTTCTTCTATCTCTTTCCCTTTGATTCGTGTTTCTGTACATGCCTAGGAAATTTCAGGATTTATTAAACACATAAAATCAAATAATTATGCATGTTTAATTAGGTTAGAATATAGGTTTTATGAAATTGGTTCATATCTGTTCTTGTGTTATGAATTGATAAAATGCATGATTTTGATTTAATTTCTTATGTGAATTTTTACATGTTTAAATTATATATTTTTCATATCTGTGGAATGATGGAACGTAGAAACATGCCTAGGATTCCTGAACATTAAATAGGGACTAGGTTTGGGTTTTAATAAATTTAAATAGACTCAATCATAATGATGCTTGCTATTTGAATATTTTAAACAAACGAATTGATTTAATCTTTTAAGATATTTTAGCAATTGAGATTAAATGTGTAGGATGAATTGGATATAGAGAATCCTTATTTAACGGTATAATAAAATATCATCATGTATAAGATTCAGTTTGTGTAGCACATATGATATAAGAAGTTTAAAGAAATAATAAGTCATTCATATTATGTGATAACTTGATATCATATTTATCATAGTTATTTATGGAATGTTTGATATATTTCCTTAATTGTTACATCAATTGTTGGATTGTGTGGTTTAATGCACCGGTATGGGGCGGTGGCATTTTAGGGATGGATTAACTTATCAGTTAAGTCCTACCTATTTTATATAAGGGAATGGATTAACTAAAATGTTAAGTCCTACTTATATTTAAGTCAGGTCAGCTGAACAAGTTGAATGACTTATGGAGAATTAATTTATTATATAAGGGAATGGATTAACTAAAATGTTAAGTCCTACTTATATTCAAGTCAGGTCAGATGAACAAGTTGAATGACTTATGGAGGATTAATTTATACTGAATAGGATGGTTACTAGATTTTATATATATAAGTATAGTGCCATGATATGAGCTTAAGTCTCAGGATCAGTGGTTAGGGTGCGTATATCGCCAGGGATGTGTAGCTAGATATAGTGTAGTTGTGTACCGTGGTAGGTCTAGGTACTCATGCCCACTATATGTGCATTTTGCATGTTGCCTACTATTCAGGTTGAGACAACCCTATAGTCTAGTGAGGTTCCTTTAGTGTGTATATATATATATATACGGACTACTAGTTACTGTTGGATTGACTAGGATGTATACGTGTATCGGATCTCTGCTTGGACTGTAGTAGAGTATAACTTGTTTGTGGGCCTGACCCACCATTATTTTTCAGGTGTTCGTCACGAGTAGAGGTTGTTCGTGCTGAGTGGGGATCAGTCTACTTCATTCTTCCGATGCTACATAGGAGTTCCTTTATGATTCAGTTTCCTGTTTTAGATTACTGTCATTTGTTTAGTTTGGATTTTCTAGGGGTCCACACAGTATGGATTCCCGAGTTGTATTTTGGAGGATCAGTTGTATCAGAAGAGTTTATTAATTAATGGAAATAAATTATGAGGTTTATTATTAGATTATCATTTTAGTTTCTTGTCAGCATTTTATTTATTCTTCTTTATTCTTTTGTACTCTGTGTTCGTTTATTATCAATTTGTTTTGATATCCTCGGGTATTCGGGCATGGGCCTGGCCAACCCCATTCGGAAATCCGGGGGGGGGGGGGGGGGGGGGGTATCACAATTGCCCACTTGATTTGCTATACCCCAAAAGCCCGTTCCACATCTTTTCTTGCTGCCTCTTGTCGCTGAGCAAATAATTTTTCTTTTGTAGTGGTTGGGTGCGGGATAGTCTGCATCAAAGGTGCCCACTTAGGGTATATACCATTAGACAAGTAATACCCCATTCTATAGTGATGTCCATTCATTACATAATTAACCGGAGGTAATTGGCCATTGATGATGCCGTTGAATACCGAGGAATGATCCAACACATTTATATCATTGTGTGAACCCGGCATTTCGAAGAATGCATGCCAGATCCACAAATCTTGTGAGGCAACTGCTTCCAATACGAGAGTATTCTTACTAGATCGTCCCCTATGTGTGCCTTGCCACTCCACTGGCCAATTCTTCCACTCCCAGTGCATACAGTCGATAGAGCCAAGCATACCCGGAGAACCTCTCTGCTCCCCTTCTTCAAGCAACCGTGCTATGTCGGCTTTGTTGGGTGGGCGCATATACTTTTCTGCATACACAGCAACAATAGCATTACAAAACGCCTTCAAGCATTTAATGGCAGTGTTCTCGCCGATTTTAATATACTTATCATAGTGATCGGCTGCACAACCATATGCAAGTATACGAACAGCAGTTGTCATCTTCTGTATAGAAGACAATCCCAGACGACCAGTTGCAATCTTTTTTTGGACAAAGTAGTCATCATAAGCTTTGACATCATTAAGGATACGAAGAAAAAGTTTTCGTCGCATCCTGAATCGCCTGTGAAAGTACTCCGGTGTATATGTGCAATTCTCGTTGAAGTAGTCTTTCATTAGCTGATAGTGGCTTCCCTCTCGATTACGATGAATGTATCGCTTCTTTTTACGGACTTGAAATACTTGCTCGACTATCTCTGGCCTCACTGAATTCATAATCTTATAGAATTCGTCTTGATCTTGTTGAATCAACGCCCCAAAAGGATCACCTTCCGAAGAGGATGATGAGGAAGATGAAGAATTAGAGTCTGCCAGAGGAAAAGCTTGTGATGACGAAGCCATTCGAATTTCAAAATTGAAAAAGATGGATGATGATATTTTCCTACAATGGAGAGAGATGATTATAGTGATGATTTTCGAATGAGCAAATGAGTTTCATTATATAAGATGAAAATATAGCTGTTTAAAAATCAAATTTTAAAAATATAGCTATTATAAATATAGCCGTTAAAAATTTAAATTTTAAAAATATTGCCGATAAAAATTCAAATTTTAAAAATATAGCCATTACAAATATAGCGGTTAAAAATTCAAATTTTAAAAATATAGCCGTTAAAAATATAGCCGTTTAGGAAAAGTTAAAAAAAAAAAATTAATTTTTTATTATTATTATTTTTGGAGAGCGAAAATTCGGAGAGCCTAATGGAGTGCATGTTTTTGGAGAGTGAAAACTGCTGACGTGGCTCTTGGAATTGCTGATGTGGCTCTTGGAAAAGCTGATGTGGCGTTTTTAGAGAGCCAAAATTCGAAGAGGCTGATGCGGATGCTCTAACCCTCGAATCATCGAACTCTAACGACATAACAGGTCACTAAACCTCGAGGGTCTAACCTCGACTCACCAAATTGGTGGACCCACAACATATTTTCTTCTAATCTGGCATTAAGGAGAGAGAGGTAATTTCTCATAAGATGGTCGTATAAGTGATAAACTTTGTATAAATTAATTGACCACCAAGATTGTTGTCAGCTTATAAATCGAATGGTTAAAGTTCAAGGTTCTCGAAGAGCAATATATACACAATGACCAGAAAGCAAGAGCAAAAGACAAGATGGAAGTCAAAAACATTCTTCACATGAATGCTGGTAATGGAGAAACTAGCTAGGCCAATAATTCAATCCTTCAGGCAGGTCTCTCTCTCTCTCTCTCTCTCTCTCACACACACACACAATGTATGAAAATTGTCACTGAACAATGAGAGCACATGCTTATTTTTTTTTCGAAAACAATAATACTAAAGGCGGGGCCAGTCCTAGAAGACACCCTCAATGACATGTATACAGTAAAATGAAAACTTATACCCTTCAGGTCCAAAATACCCTTTTGATCATCTCGGAAATCATTGACACAATTCAAGGTTTGTGCCAACAAAATACTAATTGCAAAGCACCTGAATTCCAAGTGTATCTAAATGATCTTCCAGACAATGACTTCAACACCATTTTCAAATCACTACCGATATTCTACGAGAAGCTCAAGAAACAGAAAGGAGAAGAGAAGTTGATTCCCTGTTTCTAATCAGGACATCACCAGGTTCAAAAACTTCTAGCTTGTCGAGAAGAGAACTCCTGGCAAAATTACTTCTCGACATGGGGGCTGAGGTGTAGCTCATTTCCTTTTAATAAAAACACAACTAAACCAGTGTTTATCTTCATTTTTCATAATATCTTTTTTGGTCTCTAAAATATCACAATCATCAGGACTTCTGGTTTTAGGGGTTCATTGAAGAAGCTGAAGTTGATTTATTCAATGTACTCTTTTATGCCCCCTAGTGATGGCTATGATTCACAAGGAAGGGTCCTTCACTCTTGACAAGCTAGAAGTTTTTGAAGTCAATTGGGACTGCAGCAACAAAGTTGATGACAGACATTTTGTTTTTCACAAGCATATAAGAGTGGGCAATATGTGGCTAGTCGTACGAGAGCTGTTATGGAGCCAATTTTCGCTAGTCATTTTGGAGACACTGTCATTGACAAACTGCTGTTTGACTATGAGAGGAGACACTGTCATTTTGGAGACACTGTCATGTGGCTGAGCATCTGTCTGTGGAGAAAACGAAGTAATTCAACATAGTCAGTTCCTTAACAAAGAATGACCATTCACAAGGGGCAAATATGAATAGAAAAAATTGCAATGTTAACATGTTATATGAAGTTCTTCTGGCACAATAAAAGTAGGCATATGCTATGCCCCTCCATAATATAAGAAAATGTATCAGTGTTGAACATTAATGTTGTGCATGTGGTATGCAAAACTATTATATTTAAAAAAAAATAAAAAAATAAAAAAAAAGAAAAAAGAAAAAGAAATTTGATTAAAATTGGTAGATTATTTTTGCAAAAATGTAGCAGTGCTTGATACTTTGATGAATATAATCATTAAATAATGTCAAAATTAAACTAAGTTTATGACTTCTATAGTTTATCTTAAAGGGCAGGTGGTGAAGCGTAGAATTTTCGGGTGTTTGCTTTCTATCCAAGAGAAAACTACATTTTTGCAAAAATAAGCTACCAATTTTAATCAAATTTCTTTTTGTCTTTCGGAAAGGTAAAGTTGATTGTATAGATGTATGTAACTGTAACTGTAACTGTACAAGGGATGTAGAATCCATTTAGGCAACCCAAATTCACAATCCCAATCCCAAACCCAAATTACAAACCCAAGGGAATGAATGTGTAACAGAGTGAATAGTGTTATGATATTCTCTCTTTCCCTTTCTACCCTTTTACCAACCACATTGACCCAAAACCCTTAGCAAAACCAGAAGTAAAATCCAAGAGGTTAATTTAGTTGTGTTAACCCCAAAATTGTGCACCACGTGGCAGGAGGTGATTGGCTGAAACTGAAAGGTTACTTCATAAGCAGAGAGATGAAAAAGGAAGTACTTCATTGAGTTGCACCAAAGCCCATGGAATAAGTGTGTTGAACATGAATGTCATTCATTGAGTTGCCTTGGGCTTCTCTAATCATAGTTGTAACCAACTAGTTATCAACTATCTTGTAATAATATGACATCTATGGTGGAATCAATAGCATAGCATTTCTTAGGTTGAGAAGAAGAATTCTCATTCTGACTTTTTGTTCGAATGCCGATTCCAACTTTAATATCGTTCACCCAACTTACTATTTTTTATTTATTTATTTATTTATTATTATTATTATTATTATTATTTTTTTTTGGATACGGTCATTTTATTTCATTCCAGTGTACCAAATGCAGCCTTAAGATTTTAGTGTTTAGGTGACGAGGAGTAATTGTGTAATAAAAATGGCATGAGCTAATCTATCTTTGTTGACCTTGCCTGAAATCCACACAGGTTTTCATTGCCTCCCCACATGATTGCTCCATCCTCATAACTGCTCCATCCCCGTAACCAGGGGCGGAGCCAGGAAAAAATATTTGAGGGGAGGCGGGCAAATTAATTAATATAAAATTAAATTTAAAAAATAAAAAATAAAAAATAAAAATACTTAGTACTTTTTTTAGTTAAGAGCATCTGTTTATAAATGATATGAAAAGAAAAATAAAACAAATTAAGAACAATTGAGTATTTTTTTCTTCTCTTTAATTCATAACAAATAATATATATATGTGTGTGACTGCATGTATAAATAAAGTATGTTACAATAAGGATTATCATAATAATGATGATTATTATTATTATTTACTATATTTGGAATTTATAAGTTTATTCAAATTTGAAGAGTTATAAGTAATTTCATTCACAAACCATATCTAAAAAAAAAAAAAAAAAATCAAAGTTCATTCATAAACCACATTCAATAATCATAAGAATTTTTATTTGAATTTGAAGAGTTATAAGATCTTAGTAAGCATTAAAAAATAGGTACGCATTTAATTGGGAAATCAAAATTAGGTACGCATCTTAGTAAGCATTAAAAAATAGCCTACTGTGGGTCTCTTCAGATTGGGTAAATATTAGGTGAGTTAAGCATACGTGACTCTTTGGATATTCGTCCATAGGTCAAATCGAATTTGAAGTGTTATAAGTAATTTCATTCGCAAACTACATTCAATAATCATAAAGTAAACCATAAATAGATTTTTTTTTTTTTTTTTTTTTTTTTTTTTTTTTTAAGAATTTGAGAGAGACAAGCTTTAATTTTTATATAAAAATCACCATTTGTAACTATAATTTAGTACCATAAATAGAGTTTTGCAAATTTTTTGAAGAACCAACTTTAGTTTTTAGAAAAATTACTATTAATAACTATAATTTAGTACCATAAATATATTTTACAAAAAATATGGGGGGCCAATTTAATTTTTATATAAAAAAATAATTATTAATATATATATTTAGTAACTAGTTATATAAAAATCACCATTTGTAACTATAATTTAGTACCATAAATAGAGTTTTGCAAATTTTTTGAAGAACCAACTTTAGTTTTTAGAAAAATTACTATTAATAACTATAATTTAGTACCATAAATATATTTTACAAAAATATGGGGGGCCAATTTAATTTTTATATAAAAAAATAATTATTAATATATATATTTAGTAACTAGTACTGAAAATTTGCCGAATTTTTTGGGGGGGGGGGGGGGGGGGGGGTGGAAGAAAGGGGGTTGGCGGGTTATGGGGGTCCACCAGTCGGCATCCAGATTTGGCCGAGCCGTGTATGCTTCTGTTTGGGAAAACCCTGGCATAGAATGAACCCGGTGATCCTGATACAAAACAATGACTCATCAACTCTTCTCTTTTCTCTTTCTTGAGCTTCTCGTAGAATATTGGCAGTGATTTGAAAATGGTGTTGAAGTCATTGTCTGGAAGATCATTTAGATACACTTGAAATTCAGGTGCTTTGCAATTATTTTGCTGGCACAAACCATGAATTGTGTCGATGATTTGGGAGATGGCCAAAAGGGTATTTGGACCTGAAGAGCAACCCAAGCCTGCTATTTTAAAGCACTTGGGGAAGTTTTCATTGTACATTTCATTAAGAGTTAGTTTGGTATGCGTAAATGAAATTGAATGGAATGGGAATGAAACTAGGAATGGAATGGGAATGAAACTAGTAATTCCCATCATTCGCATTCTCTTGTTTGGTTACAAACATGGAATGCGTAAAAATAGTTTGACTAATGTAAAAACTAAAATGGAATAAATTTATATTGTTTTCTCCAAATAAATTTTATCATTAATAAAAAAATTAACTAAAAAATTAATGTAAGTGAACGGAAGTGTTGGAGGTTGGGTTGGGTTGTGTGTTAGAGAAGATGATGATGGCGATGGGGAAGAAGGCTGGATTATGGAGAGGAGTATAAGTTACTGTATAACAGATCTCCTACTTAAAAAAATCCTTCCTTTATTTATTTATTGGAATTGATTCACCCCTTCCATTAATTGAATACTACCTCAAAACACACAGTGATTATCATATAGGGAAAAAAATGTTCTTGATCTATTTATATTGCAAAGTATTTTTTGTACAATACGTAATGCATAGAATAATATATATATATATATATATATATATATATATATATAAAAGTTACTGAATTATGGAAAGGAGTATAACGGATTTGATATGAAGGGGTGGATTGGAAAAGAACAAAGACGTGATAGAAAAGATGATGAACGGTTTTTTTTTTTTTTGTCATAATTTTTTTAATTCTATTCCATGTGGGAATGGAATGCTCATTCCATTGTTAAAGAGAGGGAATGAAATAGCGAGAATGGTCATTCCCGGGAATGCCTCTTGATTCTCTTTCCAACTTTAATTTAACTTACCAAATATGGGAATGGAATAAAAACCATTCCCATTCCCTCTTAATTGATTTCATTTCGTCACACCAAACTAACCCTGAGGATTTCTTCTAGTACTTGACGAGCCTTTAGTATCCCTGTTTTCTGAAAAAATGGACATGCTTTCTAATAGTTAAGTGAAAATTTTCATACGTGCTTGTAGCATTGTACTATTTAATTACATTTGTGCGTGCAAGAGAGGGAGAGAGACCTGAGGGATTGAATTATTGGTGTAGCTTGTTTCTCCATTACCAGCATTCACGGGAAGAATGTTTACCACTATCATCTTGTCCTTGCGTTATGCTGTCTGATCATTGTATATAACTAGCTAGGTAGCCTATACATAGATACACACACTTACAAGCCCCCTACTCAACCAACCACTGTATACATGGATGAATTTGGAATCTTCCTCGTGATTTGTCGTTGGTACTAATAAAGGATGTTGTATGTAAATGTAAAGTATTTACGGAGTGGGCCAAAGGGAGAAGGCCCAAAACAGGGAAAGGCCAAACAGATTGCAATAGCTAGGACCAAACATTGAACAGAACCTAGGTCCAGGCCCAACCATGAATCCAACTGCAGCCCATTCAACTAAGGCCATCAGTGACATCTTGGGCTAGGCATTGATAAATGGTAATGGATGTTCCAATTAACTCCGGTGACCTAGCATCGCCGTTGGGAGCACGCTACGGCGGTCTTGGTGGCGGACGGGATCGGATGGGAAGGCTACATTCACTCACTCAGCTGATTCTTCATTATCAGGAAGTGCACTGGAATAGTGGAGCTTCTCAACAATGGATGACGAGTGGATCCGTCTCGTGACTGTATTTTGGGAAGATGGTGATTGCCAAAAGCTTCTTGCATTCCTTTCGCGCCATTTTTGATACACTGTAGCGGAGAGAGCAATCTTACTGCTCGTGTTCTTGGGTGAGTTACTCTTCCAATGTTCACTGGCCCAAGTGACAAAAAAGTTCCCAATTGTTGCTGTGTGTGTAGAATCGACACTTACTCTGTATGAAGCTCCAAATTGGTGAAACAAATGGGCAAGAAATGATGATTGATCAGTTTGGAATGATGAAATGATTGACCCTGGTATCAATTGCTGTATCGGAAATTCTACCCAACAATGGGCCATTGTGCAGCCATTAATCACTCCAGAGTCGAGTGCGGGAGACATCACCCATTTTGTGCATGATCAGTCTTCTAGCTAGTGGTCTCAGCTGGAGGATCTTACGCCAACTCCAAGAACTGGTGAAAGAATGAAACCTTGTAAACATTATTTATATGTGAATGTGCGATTGAATTACTGGCATGGCTAGTTTCTCCCATACCAGCATTTGTGGGAAGAATGTTTACCACTGCCATCTTATCCTTGCGTTGTGTTCTTGCTTTCTGATCATTGTATATATGGACACTCACACACACATACAAGTCCCCTACCTCAACCACAGTTTATTATGATTTGTACTCCTCGCCCGCACTCTGAATGCTGACTGCTGAAACTACACATCCCATCAACCATTTTTCTTGTTCGGCATTCGAGTTTGGTGAATCTATCACAGCTCATTTTAACCAATGCATTACACATGGACAAGCTCATGAGGTCCGGTTTCATTTACCTCCTCCCGTTTATGTTATACAATTACTCTTCATTACATAAACACTAAAAAAATCTTAAGGCTGCCATTGGTACTCAGAAATGAAATAAAATGACCATTCCATTTTTCTTTTATTCCTTTTTGTAATTTCGGGGAGTGGTTTTAAAGTTGGAATAAGCATTCCAGCGAAAATTTAGAATGAGAATTCCTTTTCTTATCTTAATCTAACAAATGTCTATTCCATTTCCACCTAGAATTAAATTAAATAACTCTAAGACTTTTATTTTTTACTTTTTGGGGAGAAGATCAATTGGAAGAAAAGCTACAATCAGTTAGAATCTCCATCCTCACAGCCGAGGGGAGGTTCTCTGTGCCACCATCACTAAGGTCACAAGAGAAAACATAAGAGACAAAAGCGCGCATGACTAGCTTTGTTAGCTTCATGAGGGGAGAACACCAAGGACCAACTCCTATTCAAGTACGTGTTGACACTCATTTTGGTAATTGGGTTTGGGCTTCAATTGGACTTGATGATCAATGATATAGTAATATGGGCCAAGAACATAAAGCCTGGTCAGTGATGATGTGCTAGGAGTTTGGGCCGAGAAGGATATCTGGGTTATGGAAGGTGATTGGATTGAATGTGGTTTGGAATAGCATTCTAGTTGAAATAAAATCCATTAGTGCTATACATGAACAGTGACATGGCAGTTCTCATACAAAATAAAGCTATATGCAAAGATGCTACATGGATTGAATGTTCTTGAACTTTATGTTAGATAAGATTTATGTGTTTACTTGATTTTTGAATTAGTGTTTATCTAGGAATGTTTAGTTTGAATTTATTTTTAGTTGGTTTATCGATAGGATTAGATTTTATTTGGAATTAGTATTCAGTTAGGATTAGTTTAATTTGAATAATTATGTGTTGTATTAGAATATAACTAGGATGCTTGTATTTAGGAATTTGTTTTACCATTTATTCTATAAATAAACAGAGAGGCATGCTATACAAGGGGTCCAGCACCCTCAGAATCCTTATTATTATTTTGTTTGCTTTCTCAAGCACTTTCCTCAAATAGCATCCTTGCTATCTTTATCTCTCTCTCTCTATTTCGGTCTCGTTCTATTTCTCTCTCTATATCTCAGTCTCTCTATCTCTTCTCCCTATCACCTTCTATATCTGTTTTCCTCCCATTTCTATTCTCATATTGTTACTATAATTTATTCACTGGTAAAGTCCTTTTAACTAAGGCAATATTGAACTCATTTAGGAGTTTATTTGTTCTCTATCTCCTATAATCGCCTGAAGTCAACATTCTCTAAGAGACTATAAGTTGACAACTCACAATTGAACCATATATTTGGTTCTGGCACGCCCGCAACTCATCAATTTAAGATCGGCTCTAACCAGCCAATTTTAGTGTCAACATTTTTGGCATGCCCGGTGGGACCCCATCAGGTGAGCAAGTTATAGTAAAGATGCCTCCAAAGCTAAGAGGTTCGAAAGGCGTGAATACAGAAGATAATACTGACGAAGAAAATCCACAGATCGGCGTAGGCGATGATGCCAACTCTTCTATTCCATCCAACGTTCCTTTAGATTGGGTACTGAAATCGATTATGCAAAAATTCGATGCCCAGCAAGCACAGATCGGTGAGGTGAGATCTCAAATGGGAGAATCAAATCAGCTTTTGGTTTCTCAAATTCATGAGATGAGATCGATGACAGGGGAGTTAAACCAAATGATGTATGCACAGTTGGAGAAGATGAGTCAGAAACTTGAAACAAATGTACCAGCAAATCAAAGCCGAGAAAATCGGTATGATCACGCTGAAGCATCTCATGTCAATGAGTCCATATCCCAGCGTATGACAACACCATTGATACATATATCCCAAAGGCCTCGAACAGGCATCATACCGCCAAGTGCAGGACTTGGTATTACAATCGGCAATGTGCCGAATCATACCAGTATATCAGCAAATCAAAGACGAGACAATCGGCATGATCAAGCTGAAGTATCTCATATCAATAAGTCCATATTCCAGCGTATGACGGCGCCATTGATACATATGTCCCAAGGGCCTCGAACAGGCATCATATCGCTAAATGCAGGACTTGGTATTACAATCGGCAATGTGCCGAATCATACCAGTATATCAATAAATCAAAGCCGAGACAATCAGCATGATCAAGCTGAAGTATCTTATATCGATGAGTCCATATTCTAGCGTATGACGGCACCATTGATACATATATCCGAAGGGCCTCGAACAAGCATTATACCGCCAAGTGCAGGACTTGGTATTATAATCGGCAATGTGCCAAATCATACACTCGGCATGCCGATTGAGAATCCACCAATCTTATCAGATCCGCCGGCAGTAACTACTGTGCCGGTATATCATCCACCAGTGAATAATCAGCATAATCAAAATGTGTAACATCCACATGTGCAGCCGATTCCACCAGTGAGGACTCAACAAGAAGTGGTAGGAAACCTAAACCAAGGTAGTGTTAATCCATTGATACCTCTAGCGGCTGCCGGGGGGCAAGTAAATGCCGATCCACAAAGAGAGTGG